ATTCTTTTATAAAGTAATGATACTGTGCATGGTTTATGGTGTCATGCCAAAAATTTCACAGCATGTAAAAAAATGGATTTGAAAACAAATGGGAGGAGAGGATTGATTTCTGTATTTCAGGGAGAAACAGAGTTGCATAAAGGTCAAAGGCTTGGGCTCTGAAGTCAGACTACTGGGTTTGGGTCCCAGCTCTACCCACTTACTAGCTTTGTGACCTTGAGCAAATTGCTCATTAGTGTCCACTTCTGGAAAATGGAGATGTGTTCCTTACAGAGTTCTTCAAAGGATTAAGTCTTTTGAATCCTTAATTAAGGATTAAGTATATGCATATGACATGCCTAAAACAGTGACTCGTACACAGCACTCAGCGAATGTTGGCAATTTTTTTTCTTAACGAGGCAAGATAGGATGTCACTACATGAAAGACTGGGGGATTTCTGACTGGCAGATGTGATTCCAGTTGGAGAGAGCATGCATTTGAGATGCTTCGTTAAGTGTCATGGGTGCCTGGACTCTGTGTTCAAAGTATGTTCTCTGATGATGAAGAATGCGGTTTGAAGCTGACCCTAACAGGGAAGCCAAAGGCAGACATCTTCCCCCACTCCCAACACACACTTCTGCCAGGCCCCCTCTCCCATCAGCCAATCATCCCCCACCCCAGGGAACACTCTTTTCCACAGCCAGCCCAGGGCACAGGGCCTTCTAACACTCTGCTCTTTGCCTTGTCTGGTTGAGTTAACAGGAATTCTCAGCCTGTGTGATTTGTCATATTTTAATATTTCAAGCCACCATTGCAGCTTCTTTTAGGTTTGGTTTGTCTAAGACACCATAGCAAGTGAGCACACAGATTTGAATAAGTGAATGGCTCTTTCACTTATTTTGTGGCTTTAGGGTAGTCACTTAACCTCTTTGATATAAAATGAGAATATCTACACTGTAGTGTCCTGGTGCATAATATATGGTAAGTACTTCTATATGGTAGCTATTAAATTTTCTAAAGAACCCTGAAATCTCTTTGTAACAAGTTTAGAATCCACAGGGTATAATTTTTATACTTTTCGTGATTTAGATGCAGTGCCTACCTTTGAGCAGCTTTGTTTTGCTTGGCTTCCATGTGCTTATCATAAGATTCAGCCTATCCTGGCTGTCCCAGTTACCTGTTGCTGCATAACAGACCACCTAAAACTTAGTGGCATAAACAGCTATTTCTTTATTTCTGCGAACCCTATGGGTCAGGATTTTGCCCAGGTGCAGCGGGGATGGCTTACCTCTACTTCATATGTTTGGGGCTTCATCAAGGAAAGACCCCAGGGGCAGGAATTGTCTGGAGGCTTCTTGACTCATGCCTGGAACTTGGACTGAGATGACATAAAGACACGCTTAGCTAGGGCTGCCAACTAAACACCGTGGCTTCTGCACACATCTTACACAGCATTCCAAGAGAGGCAGATAGAAGCTGCATGACCTTTTATGACCTGGCCTTGGAAGTTACGTAGTATCGCTTTCTCTATACTAGCAGAAGCCACCAGAAGCCTACCCAGATTCAAGCAGTGGGATGGGAGGAAATGTAGATCGCACCTCTCAAATGGGGAGCCACGTCAAACAGTTGGCAGTTACAGATCCACCACACTGGGATTATGGCTCCGTGTTGGGGTATGTTAGGGCCCTTGATTTCTACCTGTAGCAAAGCAGGCCATACAGCCCTCTATTGCAGCTACTAACCTCTGCCATTGTACAATGAAAGCAGCCATAAGTACTAAACAAATGACTGTATTTAAGTAAATCCTTATTAACACTGAAATTTGAATTTCATGTAATCATTAAGTATCACAAAATAGTCTTTAAAAAATTTTTTTTTTATTTCAGCATATTATGGGGGTACAGATGTTTAGGTTATGTATGTTGCCCTTGCCTCCCCACTCCCCACCAAGTCCGAGTAAAAAAATTTTTTTTTAACGTAAGAATGATTCTTAGCTGATGGCCTCTACGGAAATAGGCAGTGGATTGGATTAGAATATCTATGATTAGCTAGATCTGACTTTTTAAAGTTAGAATTCTCTGAATATGTAGAATAATCCCTTGGGTATTTCTAAAGTGGCGTTAAACATTAAATGTCTATGTGAGAAAGACAAATGATTATAAATTTCATTTTCATTTTAAAGTGAATTTGTGAAGATGTTATTTATGATATATATATCCAGTTCCTTTAAGTATACTTTATCTTTATCATGTTACAGAACATTTGTTTCCAAGGGAAATGAAGGACTATACTCTTGATGTTCCTAGGCAGAAAATTAATAATATTTATTTTATCAGAAATCAGAACTTAAAACTTCCTTCTTGATGGAGTTTCCAGAAATACATATTGTTGTATATTTTAAAAATAATTATCCTATGTTTTTAAAGAGGTTGTTGATTATAGAATAAAAGATAAGACTGATGAGACTCAGGAGTGAATTTTTTTTACCTTTACTAATTCATTAAATATTTTTTGTACTGCAATGCCAGGCAGTGTGCTGAATGCCAAAGAAAGAAAGGTGAATGAAAACATAGGTGGTAACTGCACTTCCAGAGCATGTAGTCTAGTGGGATAACCAGACATTAGACAGATAATAGCATTCATTGTTGTAATGAGACTATAAGGAGACTATACATTAGGTTTTTAAGCCGGACTTGTTACTCTCACACCTTCAACTGCCCATTGAATGTGAGAGTCTAGAAAAAGGACCATTAGATCAGTGCAAGCTGCTGTTTAAAAAACATCGATACTCTGGGAGGCCAAGGCGGGTGGATCGTTTGAGCTCAGGAGTTCAAGACCAGCCTGAGCAAGAGCGAGACCCCATTTCTACTAAAAAATAGAAAGAAATTAATCAGACAACTAAAAATATATAGAAAAAATTAGCTGGGCATGGTGGCGCATGCCTGTAGTCCCAGCTACTCGGGAGGCTGAGGCAGAAGGATTGCTTGAGCCCAGGAGTTTGAGGTTGCTGTGAGCTAGGCTGACGCCATGGCACTCACTCTAGCCCAGGCAACAAAGCGAGACTCTGTCTCAAAAGAAAAAAAGCAAAAAAAAACATCGACACACCTCTCCCTTTGCCCTTCCTTTGGCTCTCCCTTTGCTGTGACAATGGGTCTGGTTGTCATCTGTGGTGTATGTATCATGCTTTGCAAATCTATGTCTTACTCTTGCTCTGTAATCCTATCTTGCTCCCCCCTCAATAAACTTTACCTCATGCCTTCCTAAAAAAAAAAAAAACAAAACACATCTGATAATGAGTGAATAGTCCTGTCTTCGTAATTGTACCACACATGATAGTCTGTGTTACATTACTTGGGGAAGAAAAAACAAAGAACAAAATAGAAATTTGTAAATGTGGAAATTAACTAGATTTATTCCCCCCTGATAAGATACCATTTTGGATGGGTAGAGAATTAAAACAAAACAGTTTGGGACCTATTGGCTGAATTACTAATTGGGATAATTATCTTTGATTTTTCTCTAAATCAAAGTTTCTCAGCGGGTACACTATTGACATTTTGGACAGGATACTTCTTGGTTATGGGGAGCATCCTGTGCATGGTAGGATGTTTAGGAGCATCCCCGGCCTCTGCCTGTCCACTTTGTAGCACTCTCCACCAGGTTGTGACAACCAAAATTGTCTCCAAACCTTGCCAAATGTCCCTTGGGGAGCAAAATCACCAATAGTCTAAATTAAACTGTGTTTATACGTTTTACTGCAATGAAGAAAAGCTACATTTTTTTTTTTTTTTAAGTAGTAAGAACTCTAATTCAGGGAGCAGAATTACAGGTAGACTTATTAAATTTTCAAGACCCACAACTCCTCCTTTGAAAATGACAAAATGAATTGGGATGATCCATTATCAAATTAAACATTATACTTGCTCTTTTTTATGTCTGGAAATTTTTCTGAACTTTATGCCATTTTTAGCAAGGCTGAGACCCTCAGTCATTTAATTGAGACTCTGAAGGTTCCCAGATATCACTGGAACAAAATCAAGATTTAAAATTGGCTTGAAAGTAACAAATGAAGATATTGTGATTTGACTCCATGCACTCAGCCCGGAAGCTATTGGATTGCATGAGACTCATGACCCAAAGGAGGTGATTAGTTTTCCTCTAGTGTGCTGGTAATGAATAGCCCTACAAAACCAATTAGCTATAATTCTATCAGTCACTTCATTTGGGTAACATTTTATTTAAGGGGAAGAAAAACAACACTGTTTTCCTTGGAGATCTGTGATTAAGCTGTGGTATTTGATGGCAACAATGGGGGAAGAAGCAGTATGCGTAACAATTTGCTTTCGTTATTCTGGCATGAAAGTAAATCATGGTGAAGCGTGTGTTTGCAGCAGTTAAGAAAGACATTTGTCCATCTTAAAGATGTAATAGACCAAACAGAAGTATATTTCTACCTATACATTTTGTTTTATATGGATGCCTGCATTGCATAACTGCAGGAAATTGCTCTTCACAAGGAAGACCGTGAGTGGTGCACCCCGGGGCTGTGTAGCAGGAGGTACTGAATGTTGTTTCCCTTTCTTGTGCATTTCTCCCCTTGAAAATCTATGTGAATCCAGAACTACAAGTAATAAATCATTATTGTTGCTCTATAACCGTTAATGCCCACTGTTATGTTGGTAATAACAATGTCAATAATACTATTTTCCTTTTTCCAGCAAGACATTTTAGGGATAGGTATGATTCTCTTTGAATTTGAACACATGAGACGTTTGTAATATATCATCATCTTTTATAAGATAGAAGATATAATTTTATTGTTTGAGTATCTTTCTGCGACTTCTGGGCATTGTGCAATTTTTATGTCAGCCCACATAGTGGAGTAAGACTTGAGCACGTGTGTAACCCCTGAAGTTGAATCTATGCAGCTTGTGACACAAATTGATTAGTTTATTAGAAAAAGTGCAATGGGTTATTGTCTTGGATTTTTCCATTTATTTTGCTCACTGTCATCCCACAGCTAGCCAAAAAAATCCGAGAGAAGTTCAACCGCTACTTGGATGTGGTCAATCGGAACAAGCAAGTTGTAGAAGCATCCTATACGGCTCACCTCACCTCCCCGCTAACTGCGATCCAAGACTGCTGTACTATTCCACCTTCCATGATGGAGTAAGACCTTAAAATTTTTGTTGTTATTGTTGTTTAAACCAGAAATTGAATTGCTTATACTTTCTGTTTCATATTCAAAATACCTATGTTTGTTTATTGCAAAGTATATAGTTTATTTCCTATTAGTTAAGATAAGCCCTTTGTCTTTTACATAGACAAATTTTGAAGAAATGTGACTCTGTTCTATAGCCAGGAAATTCCTGGATCTTCCCGACTCACCTTTTTGTCATACTGGAACTCATGTTCAGGAGTATCAACTATTATTTGAGTACACAGTATAAATATAGAAAATGGGAAACATTTTGTCATGAGTCAACTATTAAGGCATGTAACTTGATTAATTTAAGGGAGTGGTTTTTTGTCTTTAAGAGTAACCAAAAAATCCCATTTCTTACTTTAGTAGCTACTATCTTTAAAACTCCTAAGGGAAATATGATTTCAGATAATATTGAAACAGGATTAGTATCTGCATGGTAGAGGATATTTTTATTTATTGACCTAGTGATATTTATATCTGAAGGGGTGTAGGGCCACGTGATACTGGAAATTATAGTGGAATGAATACTTTTCTAGAGGTACAAAGAACTTAAGTTTGACTTGGCCTCTAATTAGCTGTGTGACCCTAATCAAGTTACTTAATGTTTATTTTTATGCTCAATGTGGATAATAATCTTTAATATACCAATTTTATAGGGCTATTTAGATAAGTAAAAGATATTAACATGCTTTTAAAAATATATGCGTGTAAATGTTAATTAGTATGTATTTTTCCTCTTTTTGCATAATAAGTGCTCTTTAGGCTAGGCAAAGGATGGATGTAATGTAGGTTTTTGGTGATTTTAATTGATCCTTTGTTTCCAAAGCTTGTTTTTACTTACGATTTCTTGTTGGGCTTTGTAGGTAGCAGGGCATCCTCAAGTCATTTTATTTCTCCCTTTATGTGATATTAAGATGAGCCTTCCTCTGGCTTACCCTGTCTACAGCCTGAAGCTCATACTAGTTGTTCTCTAAATTAAATGGAAAGTGTATACAATTTGGAATGAGTCTGTCTAGCTAGGAATCCTACCTCCAACACTTAACAGTCACATGGTTCTGGATATTTGGTGTCTTTGAGCCATCCTTTCTTCCCATAGGGTGTTGCGAGCACTCAATAAAATCAAACGTGAAAATATTTTGTAAACTGTGATGTTCTAAATAAACATTAGCCATAATATTATATTTATATACTTCCATATCAGCATGAACATTTCATTTTTTGTTTATTAGGTATAATCAAAGATTTGGTTTATCTTTTATAGTTGGGGTACCAGTAACTTAATGCTTTTGAAAAAGTGATCACTTACCTAAAAATAAAATAGGGGTTCAATTGAGTTTTGATCCTCAATAAAAAATCATTTTCAGTACAGGGAGAAAAAATAGCATAATAAGGAGAAGTCCCTAGAACTATAATTATACTTTTTCCCCCCCTAGAGACAGATGTGTGACAATGTCTGTATACATTTTCAGTTGTCACAACTGGAAGGAGGGTAGAGGGGAATAGTTGGTCCTGGTATCTAGTGAGTAGAGGCCAGGGATGCTGCTATGCATCCTATAACACACAAGGCAGCCCCCAAAACAAAGATTTGCCTGGCCCAAAATGTTAGTAGTGCCAAGATTGAAAAACTGGCTTAAAAGAATGGGGATCTCTATAAATTCCCAAGAAGAACTAGTGCCCTAGAGGGGGGAAAAATTTGACTTGAATTGGCTGGTTTCTACTGGGAAATCTACCCCATTACTTGCCCACCTGGTGAATTTCTATTAATGTGTCAAGGAGTAACTCAACAATTGCCCTTTTTCCATAGCTTCCAATTCCCTCTCTTTCTTCTCCTTATTTCCTTTTGCCCCTGGAAGAATCTATTGCTCTCTCCTCTTTGTTACCATTGTAATTTTTATACACCTCTATATTGTGTAAAACTTTAATGTGTCACACCTGTTGTCGTGAGTCTGCCTCCCCTACTGTTCTGGACAGGAATTATGCCTCATCCATTTTTGCCCCCAGCACCTGGCAATTGTGTTTAATCAACTATTTGTTGATACCTGAATTGATTCGAATATACGGATGATAAAGGGGTGTCTACTCTCAGATGCATAAGTTATTAGGGGTTGGGTTGGCAAATACTGAACATAATTAGTATTTAGGACAAAAGGTGTGGTTTCTCAAAGTAGTGAACTGTATCAGATGGGTTGTATCAGAAACAATTTTATGAACTTTGGAAATATACATCTTACTTGATTTGGCCATTTGGAGGAATAAACATCACAAGAAAATAATCAGACATGTTTATAAAGATAAACATGTGAAGAAATTTATTGTAGTAGCCTTTTGGAATAGAGAAAATTATAAATACTGTCAATTTCTAACCATAGGGGATTAGTTAGGGAAATTGCTGTAGAAGCTGACTTGTGAAATTCTCATACACACACACACCCCCCATACATGGAAAGTGTGGGAGGACTTATATTAAAATGTTTTGGGGTAAAGACAGTGATTTCCATTTTGAGTATGCCGAGATAAGGACTCAGGTCAGGTATGCAGGCCATCTCATCTGGCAAAACCCAGTGGTCAACCTTTTTGTTAATACAATAAAACATAAAATGTAGTTTTTGCCCTTTAGTAAGTTATCATTTAGTTAGTTCAGTTTAATATCTAAGAGAAGTTAACTGTACTCCTAGAAGGATACACGCTGAGTAAGCAGATTGGTACCAAAGAACATTCCTCTTTCAGAGTTTGGACTTCTTTCTGCACTGAATGTTGAAGGTGCAATCTCTCTCCTCACCAGGAGTACTTAACAGAGCCGAGAACTGCTATCTGGGGTAAATCTTGTAAAACCAGGGCAGTTCTGAGGATAAAGCTGAACAATCAGAAAAGATAAACAAAATAGGGAACCTCAGGTGACAAAGAGAGTTCTGACAACAGCTATTGACAGAATGAAGTGGCCGGTGAGGACTACCCTTCTCTTAGGCTGAGTCTACTTGGCTTTGAATGGAGCTCACTTGCCAGGGACATGCATGTAGGAATTTTGGAAGTGAACACGGAGCTGATACTCTTCCAGCCGTTGGCTGAACACAAGTGCTTTCTAAAATTACAAGTGCCCCCTACCTTTTTAATAAAGATTCAAAAATGGAGAGAGTTCATAGTAAATTGTTGGAGTGAACCAGGATAAGAATCCGTAGCTGGCCGACTTTGTTCCAATCCCATATAAAATGCTTTTATCTGCGTATTCTAACTGCGGTGGTACCCTGCTGAACACATTTTCATTTCACTCTTTCCTATATTCCAGTCTCTCCAACAATGTCTACGTTTTGAGTCTCAGGGAGTTCATGTTGGAGTTAATGCAGAAAGGAGGAACTCCTAGTCTTTCAAGGCACTTTAAGGATGTGATTAAAAACTTTTTTTTTTTTTAATGCTAGGCCGATTTGGTTTTGAATATCTCTGACTCACAAATTGACCTTGGAAAGTCACTTAAATTCTTAGCCTCAGTTTCCACATCAATGAGTTAAGAATATTGATAGTACTTACCTCACTATTGAGGTGGTTGTAGGGGAGATGTTTTTACGTTATCCGTAGATTTTTTTTTTATTTGATAATTATTTATTTCAATATTATCCTGTATGTCTCTATGTCAAGAAACACTGTTTTTTCTCTTCTGACAATAACATAAAGTTTCTTTTTAAAATAAATATAAGTAAATTAAAAAAATTGAAGTATTTTAAATGAAAATATCAAGCGAATGTGACCAAAATTTTGAAGGGGATAGATATGGAAATGACTGAAGCTTATGAAAAATGAACTCAAGATTATGGCTAAAGTTCTTCCAAACTGTGAGATACTACAGTTCTATAAAGCTAACTCTTTAAAACTCTTTATGTCCATGTATCTGGCCATATGCACATGTATTAATACTGTCTTTATTATAAATATAAGCAGTTGGATCACTGATAAGGGATCTCCAGTCTTAGTTCTGGATCGTGTTCATTCTTATATCATCTGGGCTTTATAAAGGTTTTTTAAAACTCAGCACTGGCCCAATGGTACAATGGCTGTTTGTTACTAATATTTTAAGTGCCTGTGGCCTATTGACCTTGCTTCTTTTCCTGATGTATTAAAGATGACATGAAACTAGGACGATGTTTTTATAAGTAATTTTAACCAATGGCTAATTTTCACTTTTTGTTTCAAGCCTAGCTTTTCATTTCATTTTACTGATTTATAAATCCATATTTGCTTTTCTTCACTAAAGCTTAATAGTATATATTTTAAAAAATAAAATGCCCAGTGTGGAAGAGAGAGGGGCTTTAGAGAGTTCTATTATAGACCATTCTGCACAATACACCCTGAAGGTTATACCATGATGACAACAGAGAGATCCTGCAAAGTAGCAGAAAATCGATTTTTTCAGATGGGTTTGATACTTTCCTTCTCAGACCAAGTCGACTTTAAAATTCTTACTCGGGAGCCTTAGAATTAATTGTTCTGCACAAGGCCCTGAATAGTGATCAGGCACTCTGTCAATGTTTGTTGCAGGAATGATCTGAAGAATTAACATTCTCCAATATGGAAAAAAAAATAGGTTCAGGCTTAATTTAAAACAAACTCATTTTCGGTGGCATCACTTAAAGTAGTTTTGAAAGTGGGTTCATTTATTCACATAATTTAATTAACAGCACCCTTTGTGTTGCTTTGGGTCAGGTGCTGGGCTCTCCCACAAGGAGTGCACAAACACACACACACGCGCGCGCAATTGTACTCATGGACTACATCTGGCCTGCAGGTGTTTTGTGGGGTTTTTCTTTTTGTTTTGGCCCCCACAGATGTTTTGAACGTTTTGAAATGTGTAAGTTTTCTAAATCTGTTGCCAACTTTAAAACTTTGGGAGATTACACATTTTAAAAATTCAAATTTTTTCTTCTCTTGAAAAATCAGAAGATCTGGCAATTCTGAAGCCACATTCCTACTTGGC